GGGTGTGTGGATGGAGCTGTGCGTGGTGCAGCGCAAGCCACCGGTGGTCTCTCCGTAGGCGCATGCGTCCTGTGGCAGGCAAATCCGGAAAAGGATACCTCCAACCATTTAATTATATGTACACCATGCTGAGGCTGATGTTGCATTCATGACGCTTCTTCACCGTAGTTGGGCTAAGCCAACTTACAATGAAACTAGGTCTTTGTAATTTGGATATAATTCATTAAAAAAGTTTCGGAAAACTGGTAGCTCGGGTTGATAATTTAGTTGCTCATTTGCTCGCCGAGCAGAGAAATTTGTTTGCAAACGTTTCACCGCCATGCGAGGCAGCGTCATCAGTGCGTCGATGCCGCTTCGCATGGCGATGAAACGTTTGCAAACAAATTTTTCTGTTCGGCGAACAAATGAGCAAGTGAATAGTTCATTACACTTTATTTGGTTTGTTCTGCGTACCTCATAAACTTCTCCTAACTTGCACACTTCGCATGCTAATTGCGGTAATCTTGCGTAAATGTATCACTTCGTCATTTTTAAATAACTTCGGACGTTTTGTACTTATCGCGGATGCACTTATAACTAATTTCTTCCATATGCACATTTAGCGAGTACTTATGTCCTCAGACAATTTTATTTTATTCGATATCGGCATTTCGAATGGTTGGTGGTTGTTTGACATCCCAGGTGTGGCTGTGGTTGATGTGCAAGTTGACAAAGTGCCTAAATGTCTATTACCCACTACCTCGTCCATACTGGCTCCAGGAGACAGTTGGTCGTTGCTGGAGGGACCGTGCTTGGATCAAAGAGTGGTTCCATGCAGTCAGTGTGGAGCGCACTACGGTCCAGCCACCGCCTTGTGTGCGCTTGATTCCCCAAACACAGCGTGCTTGTGTTTGCCTGTGAAGCAGTGCGGGCCGGATTCTTGATGAAACGTGGCTCCCATCTGCATGCTTCCCGGTCTAATTCCTTATGGGATTATAGTGCATATGGGGTGGTGGATGGAGCTGTGGGTGGCGAAGCGCAAGCCACCCATGGTCTCTCTGTAGGCGCCATCGTCCTGTGTCTATCCCCATGGAGGACCATGAGACAAACAATTCCGGAGTCAGACGCCGCCAGCCAAATATCTTCCATAGGGTAGCATTCAATTCTTACTTCACACAAGCGTTATTCATCAGCGCGCTTAACTTTACAGATGCTTAAGCAGATGACTGACACTTTTTTCTATAATTTTCTCCCCAACCAGCCTATGGGACTTGACAAGCATCAGATGTTTTTACCCGTGATAAAACATTGTTCATCATTTTACGCGAACCAAGCTGCTCAGCTCTTCTCCGAGTTTAGCAATTTTATTGGAAATCTTTGGTCACTGCTCGTGAAGAAATATTCACTACAGGCTTTCAATATTCTTATTTCGAATGCAGCTTTTAGACAGACCTAGAAATGATGTGCCAAATTCGGTGAACAACGCAGCGGTTGGACGGTCTACTCGAACTACCGGTATTGCGCATTTTTGTTAGGAATCCGTATTTCAATAACATGTTTGCAAGGCATAATAATCGTTGAACTGCATTCGTATTGCTTGTGATCATCTTATAAGTAAAGATGTGTAGAATGGTTCCATTCGTCAACATATTTACCAAGCTTGTGGCAAGGACAACTGAAACCAAACTATGCCGGCCTAAAAGGAAAAAGTATTTAGTAAGGAGCAGGACACGTACATGCATGACATTAAGGGACTTCGCATGGCACAATTACATAGCCTCCTCAAACAATCATAATGTAGCGCGCCCGTTAAATGTCCCCGCAAAAACGCGCCAGAAACTCCGGCACAATGGCTGTGGAAAGCGAGGTCCAATTCCTCTCCACAACACAGCAGCGTTCAGCCACTCCGAGACGCTGCCCAACTGCGCACCTTTTGGCAATGCTCTTTTGCAAACTTCCACCTCGTCGTGGTAGCTATTTTCCCTAACTTAATGACCCACAGCATTGGCTGTGATTTGCCCTTTGTTGGTCGTAAAAAGGCTTTCAGAAGACCAATTATCTTTCTTCCTCTTCGCCTCAGTTGGGAGTCGGTCGGGTTACGTGATTTTGTGTGAGTCGTTAGCCGGGCCGCGTTCGCGTCTTAGTCACTAACGCGCGTCCACCGTAACCCCCTCTCGTGTGCGTCCGTTCCGAGGGCTCAGCGTCTACCCGAAGGCGTGCGGCTAGGATCGTTCTCACGCTCGCTCAATTTTCGTCTCACCAGCGTGTACCCCGGGCTAAGCTAACGCCATCAGGTCAGCGCAAATCCGTTCAATTGGCCAGCGTTCCAACCCGTTACCTTAGGCGTACTCCAACCGTGTCAGTGACAATCTTATCAGGCATCTACGCAATTATAACAGGGGCGTTTCCCTCATACCTTGGATGGCTACAAAATACAAAGAAACCACTGTGTCAAACTTGTGTGGGAGGACAAACTGAAGAACCAACAAGGTCTAGTGGAAAAGTTATGCTCCAATCCCAAACTGCTTTACAGACACGTAAACAATTTGCGCCGTGTTAAGCGCGATGTTCTTACTCTGCACACAGCGTGCGGGTTAGTCCAAACCGCACAAGAGGCGGCCAACCTTCTTGGACAACAATTTGGCCTTACCCTCCAACGCGTGCAAACATCATACATTCTGCCTAGGCAGATAACGCCGCCATCAGGGCTTAATCACATATCGTTCATCTCCGCAGCTGTACTGAAGAGGCTGATGTCTCTGCGCGAGTTCAGCTCCCCGGGTGCGGACGACATTCGCCCGAAGGCGTTGAAAGTTGCTGCCATGAGTTTGGCAAGACCAATAGCAATTTTCTTTCAACCATGTCTGAACGAGATGCACGTCCCCACGATGTGGAAGCGCGGAATCATCACGTCAATCTACAAAAGTGGCAGTCGTGTTGAACCAGCAAATTATCGCACGATAACACTACTTCCTGTGATCTCCAAGGTTATGGAGTCCATTGTAGCTGAGACTCTGATGGGGTAACAGGAGAACCACAAAATTCTCGTCCCGGAGCAGTCCGGATTTCGCCAAAATCGCTCCTGTACCAATAAGCGGTTGATTGCTCGTGCAAGCTGGACGGAATCTGTGGACGCTGGTGTAGGATTCGACGCGGCCTACTTGGATTTCTCAAAGGCATTCGACCGTCTAGACCATCGCATTCTACTCCAAAAACTCCATAAATATGGTCGACGATCCCGTTCTGGGCTGGATAGGATATTTTCTCGTGCAACGTCACCTGAATGTGAGGGTTCGAAGCAACCTGTCGGAATCCATGGAAGTTCAGTGCGGCGTACCTCAGGGCTCGGTACTTGGACCCCGCCTGTTCCTGGTCTTCATAAATGATCACACGAGTGTGCTTTCTTCTAACTGTTTGCTATTTGCTGATGACCTAAATGTATGGCGTACTATAGCTGCAGTGGAGGATCACACAGCGTTACAGAATGACCTGGCCTGAGCGTACACACGGTCCATCGAGAACATGCTGCACTTCAACGTCACCAAGTGCAAAATTCTCAGCATACGGCGCAAGAGTATGCATAAGTACCGCCTAGGACCACAATTTCTACATCAGGTTTCTCACGAGTGCGAGCTCGGCGTGATAGTTCGAGATGACCTCGGTTTTTTGAGGCAGACTGAAAAGGCAGCTAAGAAAGCAAACCAGTACCTCGACCTTCTTCGCAGAGCTTTCAGGAAGTTTGACCCTTCAGTCTTACCAAAAATGCTTAGTACGTACGTGAGGCCGCACGCGGAATACGCTATCCAAGCGTGGCAACCCTGGCTCAAGCACCATCCCTCCGAGCTCCATACTGCACAACGTAGGGCAACGAAGAGCTTCAGAGGTTTGACCAGCCTCCCCTACACACTCAGGCTGAAGACCCACAAAATATACGGTGGAGGTTATCGGCATCTAAGGGGCGATCTCATAATGATGTACCAGATACTGAGAAACCCCAACCACCCATACCATTCCCTTCTAATACTCAGTCAAAACACCCCGCTAAGAGGTCATCAGTTTAAGCTGGTCACACAGTACAGCCGCCTTTAATGTCGGCGAGACTATTTCTCCTTTCGAATGTCACAGCCTTGGAACGCCCTCCCGAAACATGTAATTAATGCACGCACCCTATCCCTTTACAATAAACGCCTTGACCATACTCTGTCACATTTACACTACGTGCCATAGCTCATGACAAACAGATGCTGGCACTAATGCACAACAGACAGTGGATAGTGCCATAACCTTACTCGAGACTGAGTCACTCCAAACCTTTGCACGAAATTTGATAAACGCTACTACTATAGAAACTGGATTTCTATATCCTGTCGACCTAAGATAGTTGCACACGAGTAAGCGCTGTCCTTGCTATCTTTTTTATTTCTTCTCACCTATTATGTGATCAATAACCAATCCCCTTATTGCTTTGTGTGCGTACATTCTCATTTCAAACTCCCTTTATACGACAGTGCCGTTAAATTTGTAATCGCCTAAACTGACGACTCCATTATCCCTTGCTCTATCTTTTATGTCACGCTAAACACCCAACTGGACATGTCAAGCATCTGCTTTTTTGCCCGTTACAAATCATTGTTCATTGTTCCACTGGTTCGGTCAGTATGAGTATTTTTCGAGATTGACATACTAGATGCTTTCGAGTTGTGGGCGCTGAAAACTGGTGTGTAATACTTACCCTTATGGATCTGCGTGGCAAGTCCATGGCGTTACAAAAGCACCTGCGTGTGACCCGTGGCTAACGATTGTTCTTCCCATCCCACGGACGAAACATAAAGAACAGTTTTGCAATTCATAAAGTTGTCGACATGCACATGACGTCAGAAGTTCAAGGAATAAACAGCAGGTGACTGGGTTCCAAAATACTAGGGGCATTGTTGTGCTCTCCACGTAAACTATGTTTTGTTTCGTCGCGCATGTGTGGTACCATGAAAGACCAGTATGTTCTGCATCGTCTGAGTGGGAATTCATCCGGTGTTTTGTGCCTCGACCTGAAACGCAGTGAAATACAGGTCAGCGTCAGGGCTTACAAGTTCAACCGTCACAAACCTCGAATCTACTTATCATCATAGTTTTCGGATATGCTGGCCATTATGATTGTGAACGGTGACAAAGTGCCTGCAACAACAATGTTGAAGACAAGACTGGTGGTTTGCACTGCGCTGCACAAGTATTCCCTGCGTGTTACAAACAATGCTTCGTTACTGAATTGACGCTGCCTGATTTGTTTCCTCTTTCGGTGCAACGCCATTGCCCTGTGAGGCTAGCCTGCCTGAAGAGAACCAGTTAATTAATATCTACCTTTTTATTTCCCTATTGTCTTCGTTCAGTGAAGTTCTCGATGTGGATTTCAATAGACCCGGCATTGATTGGTCCAATCTAGTGACAAATGCAAAGCATGCAGAACTCATAACCTCTTTGATCACATGCGGATCGGATTTATCTTTTTCGCCTATTGAAGTTATGAAAATCCTCGTAGTGCAGGGCTCCTTCATTAGATACGATAATTCCATTCTTTTGGCGGTAAAACTACTGATTGCATTTTTTCACATTAAGATGTTATTCAATCGCACTAGACCACCCAACACGGCTTGTAACGCATTGCTTCATAAGATGTATATAGTCATGGTTCATTATACATGTTCACGCGACTGTCATCATAAAGATCATAGTAAATTTGTTTTTATCTCAGGAGCGGCCTTAACAAGCACAAGCATGTTGAATGGTCTCCGCGGCTGTGGTCACAAGGTCGTTTTCTGCGAATCAGTCGCTAAACCACTGCAAGTGCGTCCGATAATGCTCCCACATTCCTGCGAAGGGTCAACTGGGAAACATTCTCCTCTCTGCCTAGCCTCAAAATTTGGACCCATTTATTTCTTTCAAATGACATCCAGACATATTTTGATGTCATCTATGGCAACGTGCATTTGACCTTAGTATACTTACTTCGAGTGATAATAGTCTGGGCAAAAGATATACCTCAAATATTCTGTCAACACGAAAGATAAGAGAAAAATACACATCCTAACTCGAATATATAAAAACTCACGAATTTCGTGTATTATTGAGACTTTAACATTCATTGATAGTAATAGAAACGAAAATACATACCCTTCTCAGGGAGGAAGAAAAACGAACTGCGTGTGGCAGTAATCCAGTTCATGGGCTCTCAACGCTTAAGCAAAAGCAGGTGTGACGTAACCGATCAACCTTCCCATAGTGTTACCCATGCAATTGAAAGCATAGATTTCCTGTGTACTACGGTTGTAGGCTTTGGCACATATTTTGCTGAATCTTTTAACATCGAGAAGGAACCACTCGCATTTCGATCCTCGATATACGTCTCCGCACAGGCTTCAACTGGTGACCAGTCAAAAACCGTACATATCCGCCACAAGCCCATGTACGCCTATAAGCTTGGAGATAACATGCTGAAAACTGCCTCACAAGAGCGGGACTTTGTGGTGGTGATGCTAGGCGACCTCGGCTGTTCGGCGTAGTCCTTGAAGGCGTTCAAAACCGCTAACCAACATGTTGATCTGCCAAGAAGGGCGCTCAGGCGGTTCGATCCCTCCATCTTCCCCCAAAAACGCAATGAACAATGAGTTATAACGGGTAAAAAAGCAGGCACTTGACATGTCCAGTTGGGTGTTTAGAGTGAGAAAAGGTAGATCAAGGGATAATGGAGTCGTCAGTTCGGGCGATTCCAGATTTAACTGCACTGCCATATAAAGGGAGTTTGAAATAAGAATGTACGCACACACATCAATAACGGGAGTGGTTATTGATCACATAATAGGCGATAAAAAAGTAAAAAAGATAGCAAGGACAACGCTTACTCGTGTGCAACTAACTTGGGTCAACGGGATACAGAAATCCAGTTTCTATAGTGGTAGTGTTTATCAAATTTAGTGCAAGGGGTTTGGAGTGAATCATTCTCGAGGCCCCATGTAGAGTAAGCGATCCAGGTTTGGTAACCAGTAGGTTTAGCACTGGCATCGCACCAGAAAGATGCCGGACGTGGAAGATGAAATGCAATTGCTGCGGCGGCAATGTTGTATCCCTAGAAGCGCAGTAGGCCTATCCGCAACCCGACCTCAGTAGCAATACCACGGACACCAAGCAAGGGTAATCAGAACAAAGTCACGACGCACCTGAAACGTGTATTCTGATGAATTACTCTTTACAGGCGCGATGAGTATTAACGATCCGTCGACAAACGTACAAACAATCAGTCACGAGGTGGTCGCACGTACACACGTAAAACCCTCAGTTAGCCCACACAGCAGCACTCAACTAATTATCAAGGGTGATTTCAACGATCGGAGAACAATTCAAAACGGATCTACAGGAGAAGGTAACCACTGTTCAGCTTTACAATCACATCACTTTGCCCACACGATATAGAACAGGTAACAGAACATCTGTGCTGGATCTTGTGTTTACCAACGAAGAGCATATGATTGACGTGTTGTCTGTAAAGTGCCCGTTGGATCGCAGTAATTATGCAGTCATTAGTTTCTACTTCGCCTTCTATGCGGCGTATCGGAAAAAAGAACTATGAGCCTGTGCGAACAATCACACGCTACGATCGATTAGACCAGATCATCAGTGCCACAACTTGGTCGTTGCTTGTCGAAAAACCACAGAATTCGCCTATCTCGACTCCATCAAAAAATTCCGTCAGCTAATTGCAAATACTTCAGAGATAAGAGTTCATAATGGGTCTAAACCAGTTTCCTTCGTTAACAGCAGAACTCGAAGATGGATGGCAGTGCGCAACTCAGTATGGCAAGTGTACAGAGCAGCTCCAACTCCAGAAACTTTGGAGAACTACGTAGCACTAAACTGCTCATGGAAGACAAAACTGCATATCGGCAGCACATCACAAAAACCTTCAGTGCTAACGACAAGCTGCTTACAAGCATGTCAATGGCCTAGGAAAGATGGATCAAGAATTTCCTCCACTCGGGACGGCTGAAGACCAAACGAGAACAGCTAGGGAAGTAGCAAATTCACTGCGGATACAAGATGCACCTACGTTTCAGAGGGTCTTGCCATCAAGCGATTTTCCAGCTTTTGTCGTCCCGCCACCAGGAGTTACCCACATCTTCTACCACGGAAACTGTATTGTAAAAGCAGACGTCTCTACGCAAACACAGCTTCCTGGGTGTTGATGCTATTAGTCCAGAGGCACTGGGAACAGCAGCGAGCCAACTGGCAGGACTTTTAGCTCAGTTTTTCCAGCGATGCTTTGAGCAGAACCAAGTTCCCGCTATGTGGAAGCTTGGAACAGTAACCCCGATTCACAAAGGTGGAAGCAGAACTGATCTCGCAAACTACCGCCAGGTATCTCTTCTCACTACACCCTTCAACGTCATGGAATCCGTCCTTGTAGAAATGCTGGTTTGTTACCCAGAAAACTTTAACATCATTACGTCCGAGCAGCGACCGTGCATAAAGAAGTTGCGAATCGCATGGAGTAGTTGGACGGAGTCAGCTGACGCTGAAGACGGTCATGTGATCTAGCTGGATTTTTCGAAGGCTTTCGATTGTCTACACCATCCGATAATACTGTACGTGTTCCAATATTGCGGTATCGGTGACCCTCTTCTAAGCTGGATTGCCATTCTCTGCTAAAAAGGCAATTAGTGCTTAGAATTTAGCGCTCTTTATCTGACCCCGTACAATTCGAGTGTGGTATGCTGCAATGCTCAGTTCTACGTCCACGTCTGTTTATCGTGTTCATTAATAACCTCGAACATGCAATCGCTTTAAACTTCCTACTGTTTGCCTACAATATCAAGCTTTGGCGCAGGATGCGGGCGGATGTCGATCAGCTTCTGCCCCAGAGTGACCTAGACACTTGCATCATTGCTCAACATGAAAGTTACTGAATTTCAAAGTGAGTACATGCAAGGTACTCTCAATCCGACAACAGAGAAACTGCTCATCCCGAGTCGAAACGAATGTACTGCAACAATCCACTATCGAATGTGATTTGGGTGTGCTGGTTCGAGATGACTTGGGTTGCTCCAGCAAACCCGGAAAGGCCTCGAAGGCTGAAAACCAACACGTCGGGCTGTTGCGACCGGGCGCTCGGATAAACAGTCACCGATATTTTTCAGCAAATGCTCAGTGTCTATGTTGTCCCCATGTCGAATAAGCAATTCAAGCTTGGCATCCATGGCTGAAGCATGACCTTAACGTACTGGCGCAGCCACAACGTCGGGCATATATGTACGTAATTAGAATGGCTAATCTTTCATACTAGTAGGAGCTGAAACGATTGGGGGTATTCGGCGGACGATTTCGCAAATTACGAGGCGACCGGATGATAGTATACTTGCTTTTGCACGACCCACATTTTGTGTGTCTCTCTTCACTGCAACTCAGCAGCAATACAAACTGAGAGGCCACTCATTGAATCTCGCAGAACAATATGGCTGTCTGGAGTGCCGCAGAAATTTCTTTGCCATTCGCGTTTGTCTCACGTGGAATGTTCTCTCTGACTCGGTCCTCTCTGCACCGACACTAATAATATTTTAAAAAGGTTGGATGACATAATCATCCACTTACACTTTGTTACTTAGCGCTACTCCTGGAGTATACCTTGGAGTTATTTGATGTTCTCTGTGGGTGTTGTGAAACTACGTGGATCGCAGGACCACAGCGGAGCAAACGATAATTCCTACTTTTCATATCTACGTTTCTGTTTTATTATTATTATTATCATTCTTATTTGAATATCCCCATCAACTATCTAACGGTTCTTGTAAATCATCGTTTCTTAACTCGGATAATTTTACTTTTTATTGTACATAAATGACCTCATCTCTGTTGGCCGAGTTGGAAACTCGAATCGTTTGCGGATGACCTGAGAGTTATTTACACGTTCCAGTTTTCTAAATATCTTTTCTTACTGATTCGTCCCAATAGCCCACACTCCAGGAAGTCTAACGCCAGACGGCTGTTTCATCCTTTTGGGACT